TATTGGTCTCTTTCCTTTTTGTTATTTCTTAAATTTAATCTCTTTCTACCCTTCGAAAATATAACCCCTTGCACAAACTTATTTCATTTCCTTTGTTTATTCTGTCAACGTCACAACCGTCATACCGACGAGGCCCAGTTGAATTGCCGACTAGGAATTTATATGATTAATGAGGCCGAACTATTCCTGTCATCTAATTTTTTATTCTAATTTTATATTTTATGTATATGTTACAATTAATATCTCAATTATCGCACAGATTCGATGCACTGATTGATCCGGAAGACAAATACAACGACAAGGACAAGCTATCGCAAATCAACACATTGCAACAGCTCGGAAACGCCGCTACATATATTGCCGGTGCACTGAGGCGTCGTGAAACCGATCTTCACGGAATGTGGTTTGAGCTCGAAAATGCTGATATGTATCTGTTCTCCAGGTCGCGCAAACGTTTCATTGTGATCAATGAGGAGAACTTTGAGGAAATTGTTCATGATGTGAGAAATTGGAGGGCCTGAAAGTACCCTTTTCCTCTGCATTGCATCCAAAAAATCTGAAGCCTGGCCCTCGCAGAACAATGTTTCACCAGTAAATTCAGATGCTACTTTTTTGTGCTTCTGGAATTGCAGTAAGTTTCAGTTCATGTCCACTTCACTGGTCAGTGCCTGATTTTCTCGGCAAAACTTCGTTGTAAAAGGAGGATGACAACTATGGCTACACGGAACCTGTGCAGCTGACAGTGCAATTGTGGTTATTAATAAGCATGAAATAAAACTATTGCAGTCAAAATAGCATTGAGCTAGTCGCTTCTGATATAACAGAACCTAGTTTTTCGGCTCACTTTTCCAAAAAATTTTCAGCCAGTCCTGTAAGATTTACAGAATTTTAAAAAACAACCTAGGGGGTGGTATAATGCGCCCCTTCTCCTTTCTATTTCAATATACCTTTCTACTTCTTTTAGCCAAAAAACATCAATTTTGAGTTGGACATCTATAAATGAATAACCGAAGGAGCGGATTATGCGGCAGTATTACAATGTCTTAGGATAAAAGGCAGCACAATTACATAGATAACAGAGTGGTGTTCATCTGCTTTAGGTTTTCTAAAAACAAATTCACCGCGACAACTGTCAACCGTTCATTGCTGTTGGTGAAAATGTTATGATAATAAAAAGTAACTTTGTTTCTTCGCTGAGTAAAATATGAAGTTTCAAAAAATATTATTGGCGAAGTTGTAAAAGGCATTCAGACGCATAGCTTTGCATGTAACTGTATATAGAATCGCTAAAAATGAGATGCAAGTTATCAGCGTACGAGTGTTGACCAAACTTGAAGAAAATGATGAATATGCGTCAATGCGCGATAACCGCAAGAAAGTAAACTTTAATGTCCAGTGGCCCTGAGGAAGTGGCGCACACATATCGAACAAGCGCTGAGCATTAATTGGCGATATGTAAAGCAGTACTGGAGCTGCGTTCGGCGTATGGGAGCACTGCAGTAATATCATTAATTTTGAAAAAATTTAAAATTTATAATTCTTTCCCATTTTCTCTTTTTCCCTTCTTTTTCTCTTTTCTTTTTCTCTTTATATTACTTTTTCTTTCAAATACTTATAATCTTCAAGAATTAGTACCTGGCGCCTTTCCTTTTTTCTTACGCATTAAATAAATCAACGAATAATTGCAATAGAGAAAGGTCAGCATCGAATGATGAATGACTTGAGATTTCCTTATAAAGATGGAATCTCTTGATGTACTGCGCCAAGCGATATACCGCAATCTTCAGCGATTATGATTAATATCTTTCTGTTTACACTCAATGCCCGATCTTCGAAGATAATCATCAGGGAAATCAGCCCATCGAGATCACATCTCGTACGCAAACCAGATCTGCACTATGCGAACGTATATTTCTCTCGATGTTGTAGTACTTCCTCACTTTTTTCGTAAAAAATATTCAAGAATCAAAAAACAAAGAATTACAGCTATAAACTATGAATGGACAATTAAGCCTCGCCAAAAAAGGGAACTTAGGTTGATTGTCTGCTTTTTTAACTTCTCACCTTTCACACAATGTTCGTTTCACCTTATTATCTCATTTTTTTTTTGTTCATTTATTATAGTAATAATAGTAGCGGCAATAATAATAATAATGATAATGGTAATAAGTGCTGCTAATATTAACAACAATGACAATAAAAATAGCAACAGTAACAATAGTAATAGTATTAGTAATCATTTATTTCTCAGCGGTTGTGCTGACAAAGGCTAGTCTTGGCACTGGACTAAGAAGGGTGCAACTTAATGGGCCGAAACGCCTTCCCTCAATTATTATTTCTTCATATATACAATGGATTCGCATTTTTTAAAATTTTAAGTATATCCTGCTCTTAACCAATTAAAATTGAAGAGAAAATAATGAAGTAGAAAAGATGAAGAAGGGAAGAAATCGAAGAAAAAGCGAAATAAGAAGGGGGAAAGGAACCAAGGAAATACTTGCAATAGGTAAGAGATAAGAAATGCTTAGGTCCATTAACTAATATTTACTCCCTGAATGGCGTTTATAAGTAACCTGGCTTCTAATACTGAATAATACACAACTGGGATTTTTTCTTAAAGCAACAAATCATTAAAAAAAGCCGTCAATCCATCACCTTTAATCCCCCCCGTCCTCCCAGAGCCCTTGAATGGCTTGTCCTGCGACCCTAACTGCCCTGCCCGCGTCATTTTCAAATTATCAAAAACCCAACGATCGTTCCAACAATCAGTGCGGAGATCTCATGTTAGTGATGATAATGGAAAGCTCCCATATGGTTAGCACAGCTATGCCGAGCCAATGGATCCTAGGCTGTACATCAGCTATCAGGCTTGATCTGTTCGATGTATGTGCACCACCTTTTCAAAACCTTTCAGGCAGTAATTTATTCCTTTACCTGACATTTAGACTAATCCCTTATCTCTGAGCTCAATACTTCCATCGAAACAAATCAGCGAATCCTAGATAGTTTGGTTTTCTCGGTGGCTGAAACACCATCTTTTGTGTTACAGCCGACGAAAAATATACATTTATTAATTTATAAACAAGCAAAAACAATCTTATTTAC